AGAGAGAGAGAGAAGTTGTGAAAATAACTAGGGTTTGGGGGCGGGCGGTTGGAGTGGATGTATATATTTAATATTTAATTATTCATTTAATATTTATAATTTAAGAAAAATGTTGAAGTGCGGGGGGGGGGGGGTTACCGAATTTTTTACCCCCCCTCACAAAAGCGCGGGTCCCATGTGTTTTAAAAAATGTCGGCCAGTGGTCCCCACCCCTTAATGTGAGTGGGTTGTTAAAGATTTGGTAAAAAAATTTGGTAAGTGTAGCATGATTCATAATTTAAATATGAAACATCTTATTTGTGAAAAGTAAACATTCCCACCTGATTTTAGAATTGTGGATTTTAATACTAGGATTTTGTGTAATTTCCACTTTTAGATGATGTTTGCAAATTAAACTAAATTTTAATTTATTGATATTTATTTGCTTGATTTTGTATATAGTAATTTTGTTCAATTTCGTGGATAGAACTAATTTTAACTTGTTTATATTTATTTGCTTAACTTTGTAGATTGATGAAATTAAATTCTTATAAGTGACAACTTGACGAATAATCTGTAATAAACAATATTGTTATGAATTTTATTTTTTTTAATTTTTTTCTTATAAAGTTAGAGTTTTTATTTTTCTTTGGAGATCTATTAAAAAGTTATATCATTTTATTGTAATGGTAAGAAATTCATTTAAAATTCTGTTGAACAAATAGTTTTTATGTAAATGTAAGGAAAAATTAACTTATTCGAACATCTTTGGAAATTAAAATTTTGAACTTTTACTTCTTTTAAAGTTTAGTGACAGACGTGTAGATGGTGTACGATTTGACGGCGTTTTGGCTGCTATTGACTAGCTAGCCAGACGGTGGTTAACGACATTGCCGAGTGGTTTTGTTTTGGCAGAGGGATGATGGGTGGGGGGGCTGTACAACTTGTGCGGTTTTCTACTTTTCTTCATGATTTTCTCATGGACATGGTAATGTTTGAATATTGCCCTTGTCGGTTCAGTTTATTACCATTTGTGTCTTTTTTTTTGGGAAAATTGAAGCAGTAGACCCAAACTTTTTCATTTTTTGTAGATTTTACCTTTGTTTTGTGTTGCGGAGGTCCCAAACCTTTCAAAAATATGCACCGGATTAGTTGACCCAAAAATTCAAAATTTAATTAATTTTGACTAAACTGATAAGGGCAAAATGATCATTTGAATTTTTCTTCTATTATGTAAGTTAAAAAATGAATTAAAAATCCCAAAAATAATTTTTTATAAAAAAACTGTTCATCTCCTTCGCCACATCTCCCACCACCACCCACGACCAACAATTAGTTAATTAATACCAACAAGAAGAGAGATACCCAGTAATGGCAGGGTACCCAAAAAAAGAATTCATGGAGTATCTTCAAGTTCTTGAATTTTTTCGACAGGGTACCTCAAAACCTGTTTCAAATAGCCTGTTTGATTTCAAGGATCTGCAAGAATAGCCTATTTCAAATCTTGTAATGCAATGTATACATTTCTCAGCCTTGAATTTTCAAACACAAGTGAAGGGTCAATCATCACATTCTCGCCTCTATCCCCAAACTCATCTCTTTAGTACAAAAGCTTATTTGCTTGATGTAGCGAACTTCAACATTAGTGAGAGGAGTAGAGCTAAGTGGATGATGAGACAGTGGATTGCTAGATTTATGGTTTTCAAAATCGCCATTGATGACTCGAGAACCAAATCCAAATGACTGGCTGCACAGATCAATCGGGGAACCAAATCCAGCGATTAAGGGACCAGTGGTGGTGGGAGATGTGGCGTTGGGACCGGTGGTGGTGGGATGGTGGTTGATTTTCCACGGGGTGGGTGGGAGATGAACTGTTGTTTTTTTAAAATTATTTTTGGGTTTTATAATTCATTTTTTAACTTACATAATATGAGAAAAATGCAAATGACCATTTTGCCCTTATCAGTTTGGTCAAAATTAATTAAATTTTGACTTTTTGGGTCAACTAATGGCTAAATTGGACCTCCGGTGCATATTTTTGAAAAGTTTGGGACCTCCATTAGCACAAAACAAAGGTTAGGGTAAAGTCTGTAAAAAATGAAAATGTTTGGGACTGCTGCTGCAATTTTCCCTTTTTCTAATACTTATATGAACTGGGTTCAAATACAAATGCGTGGGAGCCAACTGTCACACTCAAATTAATTTGCCATTTATGTTTCTTGTTTTATGCTTGTAGTTCAGCGGACTTCACATGTACATATATGATATGTGTTTATTTGGCTCACGTATTTAAAACATTTGATCATCTGAATAATGTAAGAGTAGTGAAAATTACTTCTTATGACTGCACTTGTTCTTCGGGTTCTATTTGTTTCTTGCCACACAAACTGGGATCTAGGCATTAAAACCAGTTACTTCTAGGCATTAAAACAAGTCCTATTTGTTGTCATTGTTGCGAAGATTTTACTTGCATTGAATCTTTGATCAGTATAGTGATAAAATTAAGGACAAAACGAAGGAGAAGAGATCACATTACGCATTATCCATATCGATAACAGGAGTATAGTCTGAATGATTTGCAAGAAAAAATCCTATTATGAATTCAGCATCAACAGGGAAATTTTCACTGGTCTACTAAAATGACAATCTACATATTTATAACAAAATACTTCTTAACACTTATTTTCCAAGTTGAAAACACCCCTAGTTGTAATATTTTCAAGTTTATTATACTTCAAGTTTATTATACCATGCCCATAATATTCTTGTAACGATAATACGAAAGCATTTAATTTTTTTCATTAAACTAATATATAGTGTATTTATATCTTAAATTTTATTGCAAAGCTAGGTTACTTATATCCGTTGGATAGGCATCGACTGGTAATGTTGCATTATATGCTCTTGTTGCCGTGACAAAACTCACAATCTCTGTGTCGTGAATATTATCGTAGAACATATATTCTTTCCTGTTATTACATGGAACTTTTCCGCGAACACAAAATCCCTTGGCAAAAGTTGTTGATACTATACAACATGGAGCATTCACAACTTTAATACCTGAAATAATTGAATAAGTTAAACGTTAGATGTTATATAAAAGCATATCGTAAATATTCATCTACAACAATCATTGATATGCTGTCAATGTCTCGATGGATCGTTAATATGAAATCAGGAAAAGGAACGTGGTGTAAAATGTTGACCTACCAATAGCTGAAGGATCTCCTGAAGAAATGCTGGTAATGTTTATGTAGATAAATTTTGCGTCTAGTAAATCGCTATTGAGGTCATCAATCATGGGCTTCAGTCTGTTATTGAATAGCTGGACTGCATTATTAATGGGCTCCACACATGAAGATCCATTTGTAGGTGGATACATAGCCAATTCTTGTGGAAGGCACCCCAATCGACCAAGCCCAAATATGGCAATTTTTCTTGCTCCATAGCTGTAAAGGGTCTAGGGCAATATAATATAAGGTGTTAGTATAGGACCACACTATTCGTACCGGGGGGTGTACAACCCCCCCTACTGGCCCCCTCACGTGAGATGTAGGCCCCCCCCTCACGTGAGGGGTCGGTAGGGGGGGTTGTACACCCCCTGGTACAAGGAGAAAAATCCGTTAGTATAACATTATGAACCTAAAAAATCAGATTAATTTGACAATATTAAGAACGTGTTGTTCTGCAATTTTGCGATTAATAGATACTACCTTCTCGGTTGGATGCTCAACTATATAGTCAATGGGATAAGATTAAAGAAAAGAAGTATTTTTGGTGGCTGCCTAGGGAAAACAGTCGTTGACTGGCCGACAATCACACTATGCCCAAAGCTGTATTCTTTTAAATCGACCTTATCAAACAAGTTGACGAGCAAACACATAGTAACACCCTATATATTACCAAATGAAAATGAAGCAAAAAAATGGCAAATTTAACTAACCCTTAGCTGTTGAGAATATTGTTGAATCAAGATGGCTGCAAACTGATCGGGAGTATATACTAGACTTGTTGAGTAGTATTGTGGCAAAAAGTAGTTGGCAATGTAATCATTGACACCGATATTAACTATGTACAAACACTTGTTAAGGTAGTCTTTTATTGCACCCACATTTCTTCCAAGTAAAAGAGAAAATTGTGATATAGTTGTCTTGTGATTCAGTAACTGTCTATTCAAGCTGATCCGATCGCCCTATGAAAAAAATAGAAGTCATCAGCTAATAGTTTCATTAACTGTATAACTTTGTGACAGTGAGCTATGTTTTTGCAAAGGCCACACATACAAAATGCATGTGTGTCTTGTCTTATCTAATTTAACGTATCAAACGAGTCAATACGATAGAATTACCACATGGAATCCCGTCTCTTCACGAATTCCTGCTTCACCTGATGCATAATTTACACCTCTGAGGATCTTTGAGCCTCTTGCAGATGCAAAAGGTGGAATTGGGGTATCAAAACCTAGGAATTGGGCTGCATGAATGCAAAACAAATCCAAAAAGAGCCTCTTGCAGATGCAAAAGGTGGAATTGGGTTATCAAAACCTAGGAATTGGGCTGCATGAATGCAAAACAAATCCAAAAGAAATTAAATGTTAATAAATGTTTAATCACATTAACATAAAATTCAGAAAAAAAAATGAAGAAGAGGAAGAAATTGATGAATGGAAAATATATAGACCAAGAAAATCTGGGGTATTCCGGCCATTGGAGAATCTGCCGGTTGGACCGTCAGGATAGTCTATCCCATATGGTGGATAGTTGGATTTTGCCATGGTAACAAGAAAATTGTTATTTCCATTGTCAAAAAGTGAATCTCCCATGAAAAATAAGCAGGGAACTAGTGGTTCACCAGCAATTTTTTGGGATTTCATAATTATGAATAATAATATGGATAACATAATCCATATTCTCAAACAAGAATTCATTTTCAAGAACCAATTCAAGAAATGTATGAGCTTAATTTGGAAAGTGAAAACCCAAATGTAAACTATATATATGGAATGAATGAGAGACTTCAAGCTTAGATATAGCGCACCCTAATTAAAAATTATATAATTTTATTGTAAAAGGAATCAGGCTACAGTGTCAAAGAAGTTTGACAGAAAATCGACATAATATCACATAATATTCTATCATTGGATTGTTTAAAATAAAGTCAGATTTTCTATACAATCATCTTCTGCTATTACTTCATGTGTCAACGAAGTGGCATAATCCTTGTAAAAGGCAATTAACAGAATTCATATATTTATTTATTTACATTTTGCTTGAAGCATATATACACGTTCATTAATGTATGGGAGTGATTAGGTATTATTGCACAACAATATCATTGTAGAATAATTATGGTCGTTTTTTCGTGTGGGAAATTCTTTTCATTTAATGAAATTGCGGGAGACCAACAAAAGTCAACTTTCTCCCATAATTTTTTAAGGTTAAATTTTATGTCTTACATTACAAGATATTTCATATATCAATAAACATCAACCAAGAAATTCAATGAAGAAAACAAAAGTAATTTAATAAATTTATAAGATTCTACTTTTTATCTATAATTTAATTATAGTACCTAATCTAACACAATGCGATGCTTATATATTTGACCATGTCATTACTACAAAACATTACCAAACAATATATTATTTAGATATTTACAAAGAAAGTGTTATTTAAGAATTATATGTAAGGGTGCGTTTGAATGCAATGGTGGAAAATGGATGGAAAAAAAATGATTTACAGGGAAAGTAATTGCCTAGAAATTATTTTGTAGGGAATTGTTAATTAAGGCTATGTTTGATTACCATTCTTTTCCATGGAACCAAAAATTGATTTTCCATTTTCTACCTTTCGACTTGTTTGATGCACAATATTTTCTTGGCAAAACCTTTTCCCACGTTTGCCCAACGTGCACATTTGTTTTGTTTTTGTGGAATTACTTTTCCCACCATTTTGTTGGGAAAATGGAATTCCACCTTTTTATTTATTATTTATTTATTTATTTTATTTTTGCAATTGGAACAAATTTTATAACTAATTGTAAAAAAAATTCATTTTAATGGACAATTTTCATGTAAAATAAAGTCAAACGAACACCAAATTTTGATTAAATAAATGATTTTCTAGGGATTTTTTTTTTTTTTACTTTTTGATAATGGAAACAAATTTTATAACCAATTGTGAAAAAAATTATCACTTTAATATACAATTTTCATGTAAAACAAAGTTAAACAAACACAAAATTAAAAAAATTTCTAGGTGGAAAATTATACCAATCAAACACATTTAATTTTCAATTCC